CCCCCCCCCCCCCCCCTGTCCCCAACGTAGCACATGAGGTTCGATTGAAGGCTAACTATCTGTGCTTTCTTGTCTTTTTTTCGTGCGTCCATGTGTGTGAAGTCGAACCATGTATTCATCCCTAAGACGTGTAACTTATTTGTACTACCGCCCGTAGCGCCTTTCCGTTGCTCAAGGGAGGTGTGTGTATCAAGAATGTTAAAAGTACAAGTATAGAGTATGAACGACCCTTTGCTCTCGTTTCGAATAAACCCCGACAAGGGAGAGACGAAAGAGTGCTCGCTGGGGACCCTTGGCAGTGTTGTCGCTATCGTAGCCCTTGCGGGACCACAAAAAGGTTGCGGTGCGTGGTGATAGTGCCTGACGGAGACGTGTCTTGTGTGTCCACCGCGTGTTTGCGCCCTGCTGTGGCTGCTGCCATGGCTCAGGCGATTAAGGAGGCACATGCGCAACTACTGGGGTGGATAGGCACGCATGTGCACGCAAACTCGGGGAGCTGGGAAGTAGGGAGGTGAGTCTGTTGTCGAAAAGCCGGCTGTGCACCTAGCGTGGAGAGAACCACAGTTGTATCTTCCGAGAATGTCTCGTGTGGGGCAACGGTAAGGTAACATGCACACGTTACATCGCGCGCTGCCTCTGCTGCTGCTGCTGCTGCTACTACTGCTGCTGCTGCTGCTGCTGCTGCTGTAACTGCCACTGCTTCTTCTGCTGCTGGTGGTACTGGTGGTGGCGCTGCTATTAGTGCTGCTGCTGCTACTGGTGGTGCTGCTGCTACTGCTGCTGACGATTGCCGCACACTTACTGGTGCACACGTTTGTGAAACCCTGTGCATGTATGTACTATGCAGGCTATCTCGAAGCGTTCTGACAGAGAGCGATTGGTGGCCCGAGGGGAAGGGGCGCAGCTTCCGCCCGGCCGCCCGCGAGACGTGGGATAGGGCGAGGGAGACCTGGCGCATTCAGCGGAGGCCAAGGCATGTCCGTGTGTGTGTTTCTTTGCTTAGCATCGACCGCGCTAGTGGCTGACCATTGAAATTTCGTCAGCCTTCCAGGCAGGATAATAAAATGACATGCTGTGGTTTGTGTGTGTGTTTTTTTTAATCGCGTCCACGGCGCTGTCCGACTTTCAGACTTGAACGCAATACTGTTGTGGATGTGTGACACGGTGTTGGAAGTCAAAACAACGAAGTGTGTGATGGGAAGAAAAGTGAGAGAAGGGAGCGGTGGGCGTGAAACGGAGACAGAACAGAAATAGAGACGCAAGAGAGAGGTGAAGATAGGTAGAAGTTGGTATTTTTGGTCGAAGTCTCTCGTTCACTTTTGCTTCCCAGGGACCCCGTCACGACCATTGTAGGTTCATTTCGGGGTGATTTATGTGTGTGTGTGTGGCCATTGTCCTTCTCTCTCGTTTCTCGGGAGCGCGTCTGTCCCTCCTCTGTGGCACTTCTCATTCAGGGTACTCCGTCTGTTTGTCAGGCAGTACTTGTACCCATCGCAGGGTTTTTCGATCAAGTAAACATGTCGGATATAGCATATGATCGGGGAAGTTGGGTTAGGGGGTAGGGGTTGGGAATAGGGTCTGCGTACCCCCTCCCTGTTCTACCTCTCGTATCAACTTTTTTAGTCTCGCGAAGGCGATCCTTGTCACGTCTGCTGCCCCCCTCCCGCGGATACACTTGCCTTTTTTGCAATTGTGTGCGATTGTTCTCACTCTTTGCCCCCCTCACTA